CCCCCCCTTTTTTAACCACTTTTTCTTCTGACACCTATGCTTTTACCCCAAAATTAGAATTCTCTCCTGCAGAGGCTTCCGTTCACAACCTTAAAGTGCATTTATATGGTCCTACTTCTCATCTGTTATGCTACCAGGATATTTGTTTCTTATTGTAAGACTTTTGGTTATGTATGATGTATGTTCTACCTTCCTTTCCAAATAAAAATCTTTTTTGGAATAAAAAAAATGGGGGCAGCAAATGGTCAACCCACAGCTGCCAGCCATGTTTTCTTGTTCAGTAGCTTTATTAAATTTTAGTATACAGTCAGTATACAATATAAAGGCAAATAATAAAAGATAAAGAAACAAAACCTCCACCTTCAGCAAAGGATAATAAAAGACATGATTATAAGATTACAATTCAGTCTGGATATAGCAAAGTTAGTCTAGAATTTAGTGTAGATTGAGTTATGTGTGTGACATATGAGAGATGTCAGATATAGAGACAGCAAAAGGAGAAGGTAAATAATTGGTTGATCGAAGTATTGTCACATAAAGGTCCATGGCCGAACAATGAATTCGTAAACCAAAGCAAAAAAAAAAAAAAAAAAAAAAAAAAAAAAAAAAAAAAAAAAAAACCAAAGCGTAGAAAAGGTCTGGTCCAAAAAAAAAAAAAAGGGATGGGAGGAGAAAAGGGGAAGGGGGGATATTTCTGAGAGTATGGAAAGATAAATAAGGAAAATAACTGACCAGTACCAGGATATAAGGGGAGAGTATTTGAACTGCTCAAAATAAGTAATAAAAAAAGAAAAGGAGACTAATTAAAAATAAACTGGAAATTTTTTATCGTATGTGAACACAATGTCCGATTTTCATTTAATGTGCACAGTAATCATACAGAAATAATCAAACAGAAAAAAGTGCATGATCAGAAGCATAGGACAACCCTACACTTCCTCATTTACTACGGTAGTAAGTAGCTACGTTTGCCTATGTCACATGAGAATTTTCTTACAAGCCAATACCATTCCGACTACATTATAAACACTATCGTGGAAAATCGGACAATCGGTAATCCTATTTCTTCATTGTGTGTACTATGCTTCAAGCAGCTAATAATATACAAACATAGAGCACACATATAACCCTCCTAGCTCATCATCGCTATTGTCAGTATTTCAGCTGTGATTTATCACATACACCAATCCTGTTTAAAAGGCAGGTGGTGCTGTGTATCCATGCAGGACATTTATAAGCCAGAAATCAGAAGCTCCCCACTATAAAACATCATATTATATCTAATTCATCTGTAGTGTTTCATTTAGTTTACCTAAAAATATAAAAGCATTTTGACATATGTCTGTGGCAGCATCATGATTTGTTAGTAAGACTGCTTCATTTCATAAAATACTAGATCTGACTTGTCATTGTCCAGATGACATTGTGAAATTCAATAAGTGACAACAGATTCATAATAGGTTAACAACTTCATAAGAAAAGCACACCATTTGCACTTCAGTAGGTTAATAAACCATTTTTATTTTGTGACCAAGACTAGATTGTAATTAGAAAAAGTGTAAAAGGTTGATTTTCTCCCTTTTGTTTCCCTAGAGACATACATTAGAAAGTTTTATTAGGCAAATGATGAAACAAAGGGCAGATTGCTGCCTCTTTTTTTTATTAGCTGGTGTTCATAGGCGTGTAATAAAGATTTGTGGTTGCATTGCCCTTTCCATTCATTTAATGCATTTGCTATGTGTTTGCTATGCGTATTCTATTGACTTGTACAGAGAAATTACAATAAACCTATAATTAGGAATACTGCAAGCAGGCAGTTCTTCTGGAATAAGACGCACTTACCTGCCTGCTTGCAGTCTTCTATTGAATGCACACTGAGCTGCACAGGCACAGCTCAGCATGCATTCTCAGCACACTATGGCTGTGCCAGAATGACTGATTGCCATGAGTATGCCCAGAATCACGTCATCCCCAACTGGCCAATCAAAAGGCCGAAAACTCTGCACTCGGAAGTAGCCCAGGGAGAAGATGACAGCAGCTGGTGGGGGATGTAACTGTTGCATCGCTGGAAGGTGGTTGTGAGTATTTTGCAGAGTTTAGTTCCATTTTAAACTGAATCTTTCACTTTAGGAATACTGAAAGCTGCCAAAAGATATGAAATGAAGGCACCCAGTACATTCAGTCCCCTCTGGTTCCTCTGAATTCTGAGCTGCTGTGTCCAGGCAAAGCTTCACTTGCAGGTATTTTCAGAGTTTCCCCCTGAGCTCCACCCCTGCACATTACTATTGAAACGAGGGTTGTTACACATTTCTAATGTATGTTGTAATGTACTTTGCACTGAATGTCAACATACTGTACATCATAACGCACATCAAATGCGCATGAGCACATGCACTGTGACGCACGTTGATATGTGGTAAGTTATTTTTGAGTTGTGATTTAGATTACATCCAGGTTAATCACTGAAAATCAGCCAACCAGGCAGCTGGCATTTTCAGGAGGAGATCAACAATATCAGCCCCTGTATTTTGCTTAGTACAGATTTCCTACAGATTGTTAAGAATGAATATTTAAATTATTGCATAGGCACAGACATAGCTAGTTCCACTTAAACATGCCTTAAACTGGTCAGCTTAAATTGGTTCTAAAGGCTGAGCCTTCTTAGCCCCACCCCTCCCAATACTTACCTGAGCCCGGTCTCGGTCCAGCAGTGTGCACGGGAGCTCTCCTGGTCTCTCCCTCCTCATTGGCTCCTGCTGCTGTCAATCACAGCCTGTGAGGAGGGAGCAGAGGGCTGAGACGTGCTCTGCTGTGTCTTATGGACGCAGAGAGCAGGGCTCAGGAGCGAGCACGCACCAGTGTCCCCATAACAAGCAACTTGCTATGGGGCCACTGCTCAAGGGGGAAGAGCCAAAAGGGCTGGCTGGGGACCTGAGAAGAGGAGGATCAGCGCTGCTCTGTGCAAAACGCCTGTGCAAAGCAGGTGAGTATAACATGTTTTATTTTAAAAATTAAAAAAAAAAAACAATTCTTTGGTATCACTATTTACAAACATTTGATAACTTGACATACACTATATTGCCAAAAGTATTGGGGCACCCCTCCAAATCATTGGATTCAGGTGTTCCAATCACCTCCATGGCTGCAGGTGTATAAAATCAAGCACCTAGGCATGCAGTTTCTACAAATGTGTTAAAGAATGGGTCACTCTCAGGAGCTCAGTGAATTTAAGCGTGGTACCGTGATAGGTTGCCATCTGTGCAATAAGTCCATCTGTGAAATTTCCTTGCTACTAAATATTCTACGGTCAATTGTTAAAGGTATTAACCGCTTCCGCAGAAGCAGAAATACTGCTACAGGGCGGCACAGGTGCGCAAAATCTTGTATATTTATGATTTTGCAGTTCCGGACAGGGGTCGTACGCACGTTTCTACCTGCGCCGCCATTCGCCTAGGCTGTCAATCACCAGGTCCCGGCTGGTGGTACCCGTTGGCACCCAGCGATCTTCGGGGATTTCCGATGGGGGAGAGACCTGTATGTAAACAATACAGATCTCTCCCCTGCAAGCTCCTGCACACTGCTTTGTATGGCTCTGCGTACAAAACAGTGTGCTTACAGTGAAACACAGCACACAGCCTCATAGTAAAACAGCACACAGTTAACCCTTTGATCGCGCAAGTTAACCCCTTCGTGCCCAGTGCCATAACTACAGTGTCAGTGCTCTGCTTATTAGCACTGATCACTGTATTGGTGTCACTGGGGATGTCAGTGACACCAAGTCAGTTCCCCCCAGTGTCAGAATGCCTGCCGCAGTCCCGCTATAAGTTGCTCATCACCACCATTACTAGTACAAAAAAAAAATTCCAGTATATATACCCTCATTTGTAAACATAACTTTCATGTAAACCAATTAATTTACACACATTGGGATTTGTTTTAGCAAAGACATGTAGCAGAATACAATTTGGCCTAAATTTATGTCGAAATTTGATTTTTTTTTTTATTTTTTTACTGGACATGTTTAATTTAAAAAAGTCAACAATATAGGTTTTTTTAAAAATGTTTTTGTTTAAAGAGCAAAAAATTAAAAAAAAAAGCACAGGCGATCAAATACCATCAAACGAAAGCTCTATTTGTGGGAAAAAAGGACGTAAATTTAATTTGGGTGCAGTGTTGCCTGATCGCGCAATTGTCAGTTAAAGGAACGCAGCACTGTATCGTAAAAAATGGCCTGGTCAGTAAGGAGGGTAAATCCTCTGGAGGGCAAGTGGTTATACTTCATGTTGCCTTCAGATTAGCACAACAACAGTGCATAGATAGCTTCATGGAATGGGTTTCCATGGCCGAGCAGCTGCATCCAAGGCTTACATCACCAAGTCCAATGCAAAGCATCAGATGCAGTGGTGTAAAGCACGCCGCAACTGGACTTTAGAGCAGTGGAGATGTGTTCTTTGGGGTGAAGAATCACACTTCTCTGTCTAGCAATCCGATGGACATGTCTGGGTTTGGCGGTTACCAGGAGAACGGTACTTGCCTGACTGCATTGTGCCAAGTATAAAGTTTGGTGGAGGAGGGATTATGGTGTGGAGTTGTTTTTCAGGGGTTGGGCTTTGCCCCTTAGTTCCAGTGAAGGGAACTCTTAAGGCGTCAGCATACCAAGACATTTTGGACAATTTCATGCTCCCAACTTTGTGGGAACAGTTTGGGGATGGCCCCTTCCTGTTCCAACATGACTGAGCACCAGTGCACAAAGCAAGGTCCATAAAGTCATGGATGAGTGAGTTTGGGGTGGAGGAACTTGACTGGGCTGGACAGAGTACTGACCTTAACCCGATAGAACACCTTTGGGATGAATTAGAGCGGAGACTGTGAGCCAGGCCTTCTCGTCCGACATCAGTGCCTGACTACACAAATTTCGTTAGTTTGCCGTCTTGTGTTTTGTGAAATATTTAAAAGCCATAGAACACAACAGAAATCACACTACTGTTTTGGCAACTCACCCCGAGATAATGGCCATCAATGAAAACAACAGGCAGAGATGGCAGTTCCGATACCCGGCGACATCTGTCATCCAGCTCTTTTCCATAATCGCCATTCAGAGCAATATTCTTCTCTTCAAACTTTACTCTGTGATTCTGGAAGATCTTCCTCACAATTTCACACCTCTCAAATGTGTTTCTCACCACACGCAGACTGGTGGTGTAGATCACTATCCGCCCATATTCCAGTGTGGTAGAGGCCTGCAGGACACCAACAATAATGATGTCAGGTACTGTACACATGTATATACCAAAGAAAAGAACAATGCACAAAATACAGCAGCCAATAATCAGCCATCTTCCATTCATCCAACTGCTCTAAACCAGTAAAATGGGAACATTTTTAGATAGGCTACTGCCTATGGCTACGAGAGATTACATCAATGCTTAATTAAACTATGTAAGTTTTGCAGGTATTCACTATGTATATGAGCTATAAATGTTCAGTTTTTTTGTAGTATATATGACTGTAAATGGATTTTTATGTTACAGAGTGGTTTTATATCCCTGAGGAAGGAGCTTTAATAAGGAGCTTTTAAATGCGCTGGATACCCGAAGCTGACCAACTAACAATCAAGATTCAACTGTTTGTGAGTTTAAACATGCATAATATGCACAGCTGGGAATACCACAAAGTACAAGCCTTTGATTTTAAAAAAAGACAAAGATTTTTAAAAAAGACAACAAAGGTTTAAGCAAAATAATGTACATGATGGTAACAATTTATTGGTCTCATCCTCTGTTTCTTCTTCATCACGTTCTTCTCAAGTAGACAACTCATTTCAGAAATGGAAGGGTTTATTCCACAAATGACATCAGCTGGATGGGAAGATTGAACAAATCAAGAAACGCACGATGGATCCTCAAACAGTGGAGACATCATATGGTAACTAAGGTGGTGGGCATAATAGCAATACAAAAGTAGGTGGTGCACGTGGTAGTACTGGCATACCATTCACAAAAAAATTCACAAAATCTCAGGATACAACACAGAAAGACACTTTTTTAGACAAACAAGGCATAAACAATTCACCCAAAATTAGAAAAGGTATCAGTGGTGTATTTAGGTTTTGTGCTGCCCTAGGCAACACAAAAATTGGAGGCCCCATCCTCCCCAGCAGAGAGAGAGCCTGACATCGACCAACATCAGACCCCACCTTCTTAACTCTGGACATCCCCTGGAATGACAGTCGGGCTCTGCATACACCATTAAGTAGCCCGCCTCTTCTCTCGGATCCCACCTGGTCCCAATGCCACATATGTCCCTTCTTCCGGGGGGCCAGTGCTGCCCCCTAAAAAATGCCACCCTAGGCAAATGCCTTGTTTGCCTTGTGATAAATATGCCCCTGAAAGGTATAGAACCTTATGTAATCAAGACAGCACAAAAGGGGGTTTAACTGTAATTAACCTTTCATCTTATGAGTTGTCCCTGGAAGAAAAACAAGTTTTATCATTGGGGGGTATCATTTTGCCCCTATTAGAAGACTGATAAATTCAAGCTGATAAAAGATATAAATTCATTTGCTAGAAAACTACTGCTTAAAAGCCTTTATGTCAGACAAGAGAATAAAGATGCAGCATGTGCAATGGGTCTCACAACAGCAGATTAAAGATCTAAATCTGCTGTTACAGGAAAATGAATAGAGGGACTTAAAATATGTAATAGACATTGAGGCCTTATTGGAGGATACTGTGGAAAGTAAACAGGAAACAGAAAATAAAACAACATTTTTTTTAAAAAATCATCCAAATTTCCGCCCCTGAATCAAAATCCAACTATAGCTTTATTTGTTAAACAAATTACTAGGAAAATTGAATCATTGAAAACCAATAATGAATTGCAGAATTTGAATACAGCAGAACAATTAGAAATCCTTAATAAGTAATACGACAATAACTATTAAACCCTCTGATAAAGGAGGAAATACAGTTTTGACGGACAATATCATGTATAAAAATATGTGCCAAAAAATGTTAAATAAAAGAAAATGTTGTAAAAAAAATTTCTGCAGCTATTGTAAACACATTCTATTTGAAATTCTATGACCTAGTAGATGATGCATTCAGAAGAGGAATTATTTCACAGGATCTTTGGGGGTTCATTCGAACAAGGCACCCCAGGGTGCCTACGTTCTATGTGTTCCCAAAAGTACAAAAAGATTTGCCTGACCCCTGGGGAGGCCCATCTTTTCTGCTACTGGGTCTATCTCTGAGGGAATACTGTAAGTCAGTTAACTGACGTGCATTTGAGACCCCATGTGATTAGTTTGGCATAATATGTGAAAGATACAATACATTTACTACAAATCATTGATAATTTAGATATTCCTGAGACAGTGCTTCTAGTGACAGTGGATGTGGAATCACTGTAAAGTATTCCAGACACAAAAGGAATTGCATCTGTGAGATATATCTTACAGCAACGTAGTACACAGGAATGGAAATACAATGAATTAATTCTACAAATGTTGGATTTCATTCTGCACCTGTCAGGAAAGGACTCAGCGCTAGTGGTGCTGGGGCTCGCCTGCTCTATGGGCTGCAGTACCAGTACTTACCAGCGACTGCTTTTCAGCAGCCAGGGTCTCACCTCCTGCAATCAAGCCATCACCTGAGGCTGATTGCAGGAGGTGTATTTAAGCAGTAACCAGGCCTGCAATCAGTGCCTTGGTGTTTGTTCCCATGTGCCTGTGATAACCTGTTTTCCTGAACCTGCTCCCTGCTCCCTGTGATCTGCTCCGTGTCCTGTCTGTACCCCATGCTTGATCAACTGTGTATGACCCCAGCTAGCCCTGACTACTCTTTTGTTCTGTATATATTGGGTGAAGGTTTCTGATTATTTGGTTTTTACTTGCATGGTGCGTTTGTATATTGGTGTGTCGCACAAATAAACTATATTATTACATTACTCCTGAAGCCTGCTATTCCCTGTATCAATCCACACATCTCTGGTCATATCCGGATCCTTGACAGCACCATAATGTCTTTCATGGCTCCCACTACCTCCAGGTACAGGGCATAGCTATGGGGAAGTGTTGTGCCTCATCTTATGCCAATCTGTACCTGGGGGTGTGGGAGCAGGAAGTTTTGTCTAATGAGTCTTTCTTGAAGGTATATGCGCCACATTGTTATGTAGCAAAGATATATCGATGATATATTGGGTTTTTTTTTGGGAAGGACCAGAAAATTTGTTAAAACAATGTTTGGATGCTATGAATCAAAATAATGCTAATCTTTTTTTCCCTATGGCATATGATTACCATAAGGTGAATTTGCTTGCTGTAAGTATAAAAAAAGAACAAGGGGGACGTTTGAGTAGTAAACTCTACAGAAAGGAGACTGACGGCAATACCATCTTTTATGCTAACAGCTTCCATCCTGAACCACTAAAAAGATCCATACAATTTAGTCAGTTTTTAAGAATTAAACATAATTGTATGAACAGTGAAGATTTTCAAATGGAAAATAGGCTTACAGAAAGGTTATTAAGAAGGGGGTATACCAAATAGTCTCTTAAAAAGGCATTCAATCGAGTTAAAATCTCAATAGACATGATCTTTTGTTCAAGCCTAAACCCATTAGAACACAGGAGAGGTAACTAGAGTCATTATGAAGTATTCCAATGAACACAACAAGATTAGGAAAATACGGGAAAAGAATTGGCCTGTCTTAACGGAAGAATCCATATTAGGAAACTTAGTGAGTACAATTCCAGCAATTACATACAAAAAATGAGGGAGAAATGAGAACAAATCTGTGCAAATATGTTGGCACATTTTCATGTGGTGACTGCACCTACTGTTCATTTGTTAGTAACTGCAAACACATTATTCTTCCAAATGGTGAATGATTTACCCCAAAGCATTTCTCCAACTGCAAAACCAAAGGGGTTGTGTACCTCATGCAGTGTGAATGCGGTTCCTTTTATGTAGAAAAAACACGTCAAGAATTTTGGAAATGCATATATAAACATTTCCATAGTATGCATTTGGAAATTTATACCTACCTTTGGGTAGATATGTAGCCAAAATTCACAAATATGTAATGCCAAAAGTAGTCTTTTCAGTTCTGGATAGAATCCACATTCTGATGATAGGTGGAGATTGGAATAAAGTGCTTCTCCAGCGAGAGATGTGCTGGATTAGGCACTTGAATGCCATGACTCCTCCAGGCATCAATGAGACTGAGAGTTTTCAGACTTTTTTAGAAGGCTTTAGCTCGGGTAAAACTGATTTAAAATTTCACGATAATACGGGGTTAAATGTATGCCAATGTAATATATTTATGGTCCTATTATTACCACTTGTTCATGGTGATTATTAGCTATGGCAAACTATTATGGGTTTATTTCCCTCTCTCCCTCTGGATGAGACCCATTCCAATTTGAATGAGTAATTGTGTTTTTTCTTTATTTACAGATATAAGCTTGGGTTGTGTTTTTTATGACATTATTGTTTTGTATTTGACTCCTTTAGGAGGGGAAGCACATGGACAAATTGTGTGTGTGTCCCTCTCCTTTCCCACTGTGGTGGTGGCGGGTGTGGCGAATGTTCTGTGTCAACGGTGTGTCTCGGACCATCGCCTTCCTGGCTTCTGGGACTTGTGGTGCGGGGCCGGACATGATGCGATTGCGTATCATTTCATGACGCCGGATGTGATGTCATCGAGCTGTGTGTCATTTGCCTCACATGTACACTGGGTGAGAATGCCGGCAGATTGTGATCAGACACCATCTTGCCTCCATGAAAGGGGATCCACACAAAGGAAACTAATTGGTTTAATTGATAGGAGGGTGATTCCCTCCTGTAACTGCAAGATATTCATAGAAAGGCATTTTCAAGTAATCATTATCAGACAAACATTGGAAGCAGAGGCAGCTGACACAAGTGATATTAGGGAATATCTAAGCCAATGTCATAGATGATCTTCTGTAAGTAATAAATAGCTACCAACATTTTAGGTGGAACTCACAGATATATGTGATTTCCAATTATACTAACTAGCAGTAGTGTATAATCCTTAGTGGAATTTATTGTGACTTTTGGTTGATCATTTTTGGCTGGTATATAGATATTGAGGATGCAGAATACTCATAGTGAGTTTGTAGTCACCTCCATTGTTTGTTATCTAGCCATATAGTAAAGTATGGGACAGAATAATAATCATAAATCAAACTTTCACTTTTTAATACTTGGTTGCAAATCCTTTGCAGTCAATTACAGCCTGAAGTCTGGAATGCATAG